GTAATAAACTACTACATAAAATGATGAAAATACAAATCATGATCGTGGCTTTGATCTCCGGCATCTCCTGAAGGTACATGTGTCGAAATCGCTGCTGATGTCCCCATCACTTAGGTTATTCATATTATTTTTTATTAGAATTTTTATTTTTTATTTTTTATTTCATTAATTTAAATATTAAATTATTAAATTTTAAAATACAATTTAAATTTTTATTTTTTATAGATAAATATGAACTCAAATTGCTTGCTCATATTTTTTTCATTCGCGTTTGTAGATTCAACCTCATTCTATGCTCACAAATTTTTTATTTTTATCAATCAAAACCCCTCATCCAATATGGTTGTCGAATTTATCTGTTTTAGCTGTCTCGAACACATTGGCAATGTCCGTTTTGTTAACAGACATTGTTTCAATGATTTTGACTTTTGCTCGACGCTTTTCGAACAACTTCAACATGATGTCGCATCTTTTGCTTATGATTTTCGTCATACACAATTAACTCAATCGTTGACTTGATATTGAGGTCAACATTGAGCAAGAATTTCATGACACGTGCTGCAACTTGAGTGAGCACATAAGATGGAGAGAGAAGCGTGCATGCACTAAGATAGCGAGCATAGTAGGCGAGGGGAGCAAGATTGCATGAGATTAGGGTACATGTATATTTCTCCTCTTGTTTTTTTCTCTTTTTGGCAGAAAATAATCTTGGACTTATTTTTCCTTCTCTCAAATCTTCTCACTCCCTTCAATGGGCTAACTTGTATTAACATATGGGCTTCCACTTCAGACTTAACTACTAAATCCTTGGAATCATGGCAATTCTTGTCTTTCTTATGTCACTTTCAATGTCCCTGATAACACTAATACTCTTAGTGACTTCATAAAGTAGTTATAGTCCAAATATCCTCATTCCGATCCAGCTTCAATCGAACTCGAGGTCTTGAGCATTTTCTTTAAAACAAAATTTTATAGGGTGTCATTTTAATATTGGACTAACAAATATTGTTATTGCCAAACTTTTGTCAATAAGAGGTGGTCATCTCAACAACCACCACCAACAACAACAAAAACATCAAGTCTTTGTCCCACTACGTGGAGTCAAACAACCACCAAATTTCAAAAAATGTAATCTCAATAATCCTTCAAAACTAAAATCTAGAACACAATCTCGATAGACTCTAAAATCTAGATAACTGTTTTTTTAGTACTTATCTTTTTTAGTACAAAAAAATATAGCGAAGGTTAACATTATACCCAATCTACTGTATTCCCTACCATAACCTTGAAGTAAACTTGACATCACGATCAAACACAATCACCTTGGACACTTTATGTAATCTCACAATGTGCTTCGCATATAAGTGAGCCAATATATCTATCGAATCAATTTAACTCATGAGAAAAAAAATGTATAGACTATGTTATTGATGTGAAACCAACATACACAGGAGCTCATTAAGGAATTTAAGAATAACTGGACAATTTAATTCCACTCAATAACTTATTGTGATAACAAGGCAATTCAATAAAGATTCTTGGTTTTCAACTAGCTTAGGCGAAGGAGTACATGTAGATTAACTAATCCTTGTAGATAAACAAAAATAGTAGCAAAGCTAAGAGCTAATAAACAACAATCCGCAACTTAATAATGAGAGTTTTCACCTCGGGGATTATTCACTCGACTACACTAGGCTTGGCGAGAGAAGATCTTGCACACTAGAATTGAGATCACCACTAGGAAGAAGATGTCGGAAGCCTTTGTCCACGGGAAAGTAGTCGGAGTCGGTGGGGTTGGTGGATGGCGTCGTCTTCTAACTGATGTAGAACGGGATCGGAGGATTGCTAAAGAATGGATCTTGTTAGACCAGCCGGTCCAGGCGGGACCGGTTCACGGGCGGAATCGCAGAACAGGCGGAGCTTCCGCCAGAACGAGCGGCCCGACCGCTCATTTAGAGCGTTTTAGGAAGGTTTTTTTGGGAGTTTCAGAGAGAAATTTGAATGTAGGGACTGTTTAGGGAATTCCTTTTGATTTGTATGCATTAAATAGTTTTTTTTTTTTCTAGGGTTTGAGTATCTTGAATTTGGGGCTGAAATTTGAGATCTCGTAGATTTAGGATTTCTTTGGGCTCTAGTGGCGTCTAGAGATTTGGGAGAGTGCGATCCTCCTCTCGAATTGAGGATCAAGTGTATCTTTGCTGTTTTCCTTGATTTTCTAGTGAAATACAAGCATATTATTGTGTTTTTCTTCCCGTTTCCCTATTTTCTGCTGAA